TATATATATATATATATATATATATATATATATATATATATATATATCTCTCTCTCTATCTGGCTGTTGTATTTCCTACAAACAAATCCACCTGGCGATGATAAATGTGAAAGTGCTGTGATGTAACTTGGGCTATTCTGTGATGTTAGGCCTAACCAGCAGAGATCTATTTTAGATACACCTACATTATTTTTTAAGTAGCCAATAGTTCAAATGTGTTTCTTGGTATTGAAACTCAACTGTGAACTGTGTTGAGTTGCAAAACACCAACAGGGAGCTGTAATGTAAAGTTAAGCCTTTGCCATTCCCTTGCACAAAGTGACCAGAATATATTTACAACTCTTAAGCAAAAGACCCTTTTCACAGCAGCCATTTTGACATGTCATAGCAGGGTAAACACAGGTGTAATTGAAACAATTAATTATGGTCCCGTTCTATTTAGCGTGTCAATCATTCTAGTGAGCCAGCATGCACAATACCAGGGCCCTGGCCAACCTAAATAGAACAGGGCCAAACTTGATGTTATTAGTTACACGGTGTTTACCCTGCAATGAGATGTCAATGATATTGTCACAAGAGGTTGACGATAGTCATAAATTATGGGATGCCCTGTTCGTTATATTAGTAGTTAATATTCCTACTATGTGTAAAGGCTTACCTCTCCAGCAGGGATGCCCACGGAGAGCTTCTTGACAGCAGGGACCTTCTTCTTGAGTTGTTGATAGACCTTAGTCAGCTGGTTGACCTGCAGTATATCTGTGCTGGCCGCTCCACTGGACACCCGTAGGCGCTCAGTCGCCACATCCTCGTCCTCGTCCTCACAAGCCACCAGTGGCACCGTCTTTCTGCCCCATATTAGATTCCTGCAAAAGTATTTTTTTTATTATAACTACTAAGTGTGATGTTGATGTGAGTAACTGGCAGAGAGACAGAATCTGTGATTGAGTCAACATTTTTGACTATTCTTTCACCTAAGTGGTTCAGGCTTCTGATATCTTTTGGGGCCCAATATTATTCAATTATTTTCTTAGTTCTTTTTGAATAAAAAAATATAAAAAAGTAAACTTTTTTATTGCTTTCTTGAATTATTTTAAAGGGCTTTTATGCGTATTCAACCGCTCATATGCATATTCTCTATATACAGAATATTCACAATTACAAGATTGGATGTGTACCACAAGAGTTACCGCCATACCATCTAAGGCTTTTGTTTTTCTCACCTGACTTTGCGTATGAGTGAACTGTTGAGCAGAAGGCGCAGAGTGAAGAACACCAATCCTTGAATGAAAGAGGAGATGAACATCCAGCCCAGGGCATCTGTGGAGAATGGGTTCCGATAGGCGTCAATGCCGTAGCCACTAAGCAGCTGGACTTCTATGTTCTTCCTGGCCAGCTCCATCAGCCCGTTCCCAAAGTTGAACTGGGGGAAGATTAGGAAGGCTTGGCTCAGCCTCTTGAAGATCTCCTGGATGAACTGCAGCATGGAAGAACAGAACAAAAGACATTGAGAAGGGTAGAGGGAGGGTAAGGAGAGAGCAGTGGCGCCAAGATCGACAATAAATTGATTTTGTATTTGCTGATGTGCAATGAATGGATGGCATACCACTCTGATTCAACGTCATATACCACTGATATGAACTTTCAATCGGCCACTTTTAGATCTCGGCGCCACTCGAAGAAATTACATAAAACCGTGTATGCAGTGCTGAGAGCTCATCCTGAATTGGAATCTTCCCTGTATAGAGGTATGTTTGCCCTTGTCACTCCTCTGCTACTCCATATCACTGCAGCTACAAGGAGCGAACAGTCACACATTTAAGTGTGCGTTTAACTACTTCAGATATATAGTTGTTTAAAAAAAAAAGGCATCTTGACTCAGGTAGTCTATACTGACCTCAGGGTTGTGCATTGAAATTTGACCCAAGAAGTATAGGATGGAGGTGGATATGATGGTGTTGACGCTGATGAACAGGTTGATGCACACATAGGCGATAAAGGCCATCTCTGCATCTTTGAAGACGCCTGATAACAGATACATCCAGGGGAACGTAGACCACCTAAGGAATTGACAATAACAGGATACTTTAAACACAGCATCAAGTAAAAATAACGTCACACACACATTAGCATAGCCCTGCTGTGTTGCTTCCAAATAGAGAAAACCCACGGAGACAAACACTCAAAGTGGATATGTAAAATTCAACCAGCCCTCCTCACAGATGCACCGTCTAAAATGATATGACCTTGCATCTTTTGTAACTGAAGTGGATCAGGCCTTTCACAGACTAAACAGGGCAGCTGTGAGCCTGATGAAAAACGGCACCTAAGAATACTGAAAAGGGAAAGAGAAAAAATACCACACCATGAGGAGGATAAACATCAAGTCATGATGCCAAAAGAGAGGTAGATAAATTACTTCTCCCTTTATTCCCCTGGTGGCAGAACATCCTATTTTTTTTGTTCTCTCTTTTCTCTCAAATAATCTGCTAGTTCAATTTGATTGGGGTGTCTGGGAAAGCGAGAGAGCGAAGGGAGAAAGAGAGAAAGAAGAAAAAAAAGTAGGATGGGAAAAGAGAGAAACAGAAACAAACAGAGAGAGCCAGACAGAGACAAAGCATCTGCGTGCAATGGCCAAAAAAAGTTGCTTGGTAGGCAGACTGCGGGAGCCAAGCCATGACAAGGAACAGAAGCAAGAAGGCTGCAGACTGGACCAGGTGGGCGCCGCCTGACAGAATGTGATTATTCATTGCTTGGGAGGGAGACATCTGTCTGATAAATGGGAATCAGAGTGCTGACTTGGCCTCCTAACATTTAAGGCTCAGGACGAGGCCTACGACGGTAACAGGAAACATAGGAGACTAAGTTTCAGCTACATTTAGGGAATCATGTTAACAGCTGCAGTAATCCATCTGTGGGGAAACATGGTGTGTCATTGGTCTGGCACCTTTCCAAAAATCTAAATCTCATTGTCGGATTTAATGGTCCTTGGTATCGTGAGATCACACTAAGCCATGTTGTTATTGCTGCCTGATCCCCCTCCCTCCGTCTCTCTACTGACTTTGGCTTGAGTAGGAGAAACATGTTGGTAGTGCATTTTCTATCAGCTTTTCAGTCCTATCACCATCTGTCTTTGCAAGATGTTTTTTTTTTTTTTTGAGCTGTGTTTGTGTTTGCAGAAGCCTCCTAATGCTCAGTGCTCGTCAGAAAGTAACATACAGTGGAAGCTAGAAAATAGTGTCTATGTGAGGACATTATCTTGAAAATGTAGAGACCATTGTCCTGCTGCATCAAATGATGATGATCAATGATTCTTTTGATGCAATCGCTTGGATCGGAACAGACAAGATATATTTTGTCATGCTGAGAACATGGAACATTGCACCACTGTTAAAAACAAGAAACAAAAGCACTCATACAGGTTGAAACAAGCTCTTCTTTGTTCCTCCAATCCTTAGTCTCCCCTCCCTTGTTGTTGGTACCTTGTGTGATTGTATATAATATACATAGCATCATAAAGACATGCTCTGAACTGCTTTTAGGCCATTTATGGTATTTATGATTGATCAAAAAATCTGTGGGTGCGTCTGTCACTTCAGCTCTTATTTTGTTTTCTTACCCAACCATCTAGGAAGCGGAAAGAGAAGGGGGCACAAAAGGACATTTTTTGATGTTGCAGTGTCTTAACATCCTAGTAATTGTTGAGTGCAATGTTAAAATAACAGATTTAACTAATCACTGGAGCTACAGAAATAAAAATTTGAAAAAATAGTTGAGGTAAAAAATAGTTAGTACAGTGGTTTTGTCTCTGAATAATTCAAATGTTTCGGCCGCATGGCCTGATTCATCGTCAGGTCGCTTCATCAGTAGGCTTTGTAAATCAACCCCGTAAAGTCCCTGTGAAATCACTCACCCAAAGAGTACCAGAAGCAGGGTGACAGCACCCAAATTTTGCCGATCTGTGAATGCTGGAACCTGGAAGACTGCAATCACGGCTACAGTCAAAGTCACAGGGATCAAATACATGATCTATGGAAAAAGACAGGACACGATGCAACAACACGAAGGCACGTCATTCAATTGAATCAATAATATATTCATCTATTTATAATTATATATAATATATAAGTGTATTTTGAGCAATTAATTAATGAATACATTGTTAATCAAGTCTATCTTTTAAATGTTTTGCATATGCTATTGCAATCTAAAATTGAACATGGGGAAGAGATATATTATACATACGTATGTTTGCTTTTAATGAGCATGATTTTGAGACGCAAGGTTTCGACTACATTTGACAGGTTAGTGAGATTTGGGTCTCCTGTTAGGTGATGAAAGGATGTTACCATGTCATAAAAGAAGTTCACAGCCCAGTATAAGGGCTCGCTGATGCCAGAGATGTGCTGGAGCCGCTTGGAGCCACTGTGGTGCTCGCTGACTTCATAGATGGCGAAGCTGGCTGTCGTGATCGAAAAACCCGTCAGCACACACATAGCCACCATGATCTGGAGCATTCCCTGGACACTGTGAGGAAAAAATAGAAACATTCAGATGAAAGTACCAAAACTGCTGTCATTAATTGTCAGCCATGTCCGTAATTAGTATTCAACTACATCAACTTCATTGAAGCTCATTATATTCCTGCAGAGCCTTTTGTCCAGACAAGATCCCAGACAACCAGCTGAGAATTTGATCCCTCAGTTACTCTTCAACCCAGTGCAGTCTTTCAAACTTTCTTGATGCCGCTACCTGTTCATCTCCCACGCTCTCTTTCCTACCCTACATGCAGCTGTAGTACCTTTAACTTTCGCCTCTGGCCGGGGCACAAGTCCGCCGACCAAACGGAATAAACCGCATGAGGCTGAAAATGAGGATGAGGAAGAAGCTGGCGGTGTGACCGAGTCGGAAGGAGACACAACAGCAGAAAGGGAGATGTGGTGGGCGTTTGAGGGCAGCACAAACTACAGAGGATAGCCAGCAGCAGCAGCAGCTACTGACCAAGTTTGTTAGCAGTACGGCCAATATAACCTTAGTATCTTTCCCATGGGAAAAGCTTCCACACTGTGAGAATCAAGACATTTTGAGCAATAAGCCTGTTGTATCTTTAACACGGCTCAGACCAAATCAATGAATCAGTGAGCATGCAGAATATCACGGAGGCGTAGTTGTGCACTTGCGGCTGCTGCAGTACCGAAGCAGGCAAACAGCTATGTAAATACAATAGACAAAGAATAGTGGAGTATGCGAAGAAACCGAAGGGCAGTAAACACAAGGACATAGCTAGTGAATTGAACAGAGAGAACCAACCTTCATGAGGCCACAATGTCAGCTCAATACACTCCTGTAATGATTTATTTGATTTTATCCTCTGGAGCACACACACACACACATGTTTGCATTCATACATGCAAGCAAACACAGAAAGCACTGATTCTGAAGTCTGGGTCTCTGAAGCAGAATGTGGAGTATTTTAAATAAACTCATTTTGGGAAGTGGGGTAGAATCAATCCACCTCTGTGCCACCTTCAGGGCAAACACTCATTCTATCGGCACTCTGATCAATAGTGCAAGCTCAGGGAAATCCATTTAGAAAATCAAATATGGGTAAACACCGCTGTCATGTACCTCCATGCCCTGAGTCCACCCTGACTTTGATATGCTGAATTGAAAAGTAAGATGATTCAATCATTTAACTTGGGCTCATTCAAACAACAGCCAAAAATATTCCTCATGACTTGACTAATTTGGGGATAATTTCACCATTTAGAATGCTGATTAGATTCTATTTTGCAAGTGCAGTCATTGTGATATTGTTGATTAATGAAAGTCAGCTCCGTAGAGGGAAAAATCTAAAGTGCAGGCCTTACATCGAGTCTTCATCATCCGCCCGGCCAAAATAGGGGTGACTGGAAACTGAAATGGCTGTAATAGAAAAAACAAAGTATTGAGTTAGAAATAGAAACAACATGCGGGCTATTTTTCAGCACAGGAACCAAATGAGCAAAGATACTCTCTTAGTCAGCGACACAGTTGAAAAATATAGTGCAAGATGATTTCATTTGCCAGTGCACACGAAGGAAATTGAATTTTCTTTATCATTTTTTCAGGGTCTTCTAGATGCTCACAGACATGAACTGCTCCCCTACATGTCTCTGCTTACATTTCCTGGGATAGGAGAGTGCGAGTTAATCCACAGCACAGCCGTGGAGCAGGTTGGAGGCCCAGGGCTCCACCGAATGGATGGGTTCTGCCATCTAATCCAAATCCGATCCGTAATCATTAACTACTACTCTAAAGTCTTTTACAATGGGAAACGACTACAGATGCAACAAGCAATGATTTTTCCTCATCTGCAGATTTCTTGATTGATTTTTTCATCAATCAAAAAATAGTTTGGTCTAAAAATGTTTCAGTGCCCCAAATTTCATATACAAATTCTTCATTTCGTCTGACCAACAATTCAAAACCCAAAGATATTTAACATGCCATCATAGAGGCCATCAAATATTTACATTTGAGAAGATGGAACCATTACATTTCTGCATTTTCTTCCCTTTATTTTCAAATGCATTAAATAAGGTCTCTTTACAGTTCACGTTGTCCAAAGGTGGATTAATAAACAGTTGAGTTACTGTATATTTTCTCTGGGGGATGCAGACAGAGATTCAATACAAAAAATGACTGCGGGTGGGAGTGATTAGAATCTCCAGTGTGGACAGCGGGCGGGAGTGTGATGGCACATCTGGCAGTTAGCAGTTATATGAGAGTCCTGTGAGGGTGGCATGAAAAAAACGGTTTGATGCCGACCTCTAAAGGATCCCAACCCAGTTGGTACAGCAGTACACAATGTGAGGGTTAGGGCTTCACATTTGACTGATAAACCATCACCTTGAAAAGCAATCTTCTTGGATCTGCACCCCTGACACCGCTGTGAGTCTGCAGGTAACATTCACTCTACCCTCGAGCACTTTTATTTGCCTGTGTGGAAGAAATGTGTGTGTATGTGTGTGTGTGCGTGTATGTGTGTTTACGCCTGCCCGCAGGCAGATGGTCAGGGTGATACAGAGCTAAAACAGTGCTGAAAACGTGGGCCAGTCTCTTTCCCCAGTAAGCGGCACTCATCAGTATTCACCATGCATACTGATGTCAGTCTGAGGACACACAGCACCCCCTGGCTTTAATCCTGGGAAATGAACCATGAGTAAACACTGTTTACAGCTCTCTTCATATTTAGTATACAACATGCACAATCAGTAGCACATTGCTGGATAGATACATTTTACCAATGCTGATGTGTGCATCCCTATTGCACAATCCCAGCCATCAAACATTTGCTCTCTTACTCTTCAGCCTATCTTTTGCAATAACCTGAGTGTTATGTGAATAAAGGACAATCACGGCAAAATATAATGTCTGGAGACCTTTCCTAAAATAACTAAAATATCAACAAATATGAACAGCAATAAATGTATATTACCATGTAAAAAAAACAGCAGGGACCTTTGCTGTCAGTGCATTTGTATTTATAGAATCCTTGATCAATTAAACTGAAAACTCAGTTTACCAGTTTTTTTACAATCTTTATTTCAGCTTACCATATTTATTTGGATCCTTGTCTGCTGGAAGATTGGAGCGTAGGATGAGGTTGCTGAGGCTGTTTAAGTATGCTGGCATTGTGTGGTGGCCCTCTGGGTTGAACCAGACCTAAACCCATGCAGGCACAAACAAAGACATGCACAGAAACCATCACTTGCACTGCTACAGTTTTCAATGTTTTGAAACCAAAGCTTTAAAGATACTTATTATAGTCAAACAACTTTAGGATATGATGTCATGTTTTAACTTTAACTTTCAACTCATCGATGCAGCGATTAAAGTGATAACAACACAGGCAGCAGGGAAGAGGGAGACAAAGTTACCTTAGACAGAGTACGATTTTTGGGCACCGCTGTTAGGTCCATCTGTAAGTCAGGAGGGAGTGGCATGCCAAAAGTAAAGCCACCATACCTGAAACCATACCAACAAATCACATATACATCCAAACAAAGAGCTTTGAGTAGTGCTAATAAAGACTGTGTTTTTTGGTTGTTTGTTTTCATTTTAATCAAATATCTACCTGCAGAGCCCACATTCAAAGCATCTTTAGGCCTTTAGTACAAGGTACTAAAGGCCTAAAGATGAAATTGTTTGCAGTCAACAGCTAATTCGATTTCTGCAAATCCTTGTTTTCAATATAAAACACTGTCCTTGCAAGAGCAACATTGCTAGTTTTAACTATCCAAAGCTTCCCAGTTGGCTGTCATATATTATTTACTGAAAGGAAAAAGAAAGTCTTTAAATGGACACTTGGAGAATCACTATATTTTGTCGTTTGGGTCAATCGTCTACTCTAAATTTAAAACATATTGAGTCCCATACATTGTTTGCTGACGATCTCAAACAAAATTAATTCATCAAACTGATGTAATAATATGAAATGCAATTCATAAATGGGAAATAATATGTAAGCTAACTAGTTGGATTCCCTTGAAACATCGCCTCATAAGGTTGATGCAATCAGAGAGTTGATTGGCACTCAATGCGGCAACATTAACCAGATGTGAACACAGGTTGCATTCACCTGTTCCTGATGAAGTCATTTGCTGTGGCCACTAGGTAGTTCTCCACATTGATGCCATTCAGGTTATACACGATATGAGATGAATGGATCTTCTTATGGGGGGGCTGGAAGTTGTCTCTATCACAAATCTGCAGTGTAGTGAAGAGACAAATACATTAGACTCACCCTTTTTCACAGACACATTCATATATACAAACACAGATGCATAACACACAATACATCTCACACACACACACACACACACACACACACACACACACACACACACACAC